TCTCCTTCTCTGATGCCTTCTCCTCCTCATCCTCCTTTGCATACTTCTGTGACAAGGTGAGGACTTGCTGCCTCACCCTCTCTTTCATATGCATGTTTATTTATAATTAGTCTTTTCTTAAACCAAAGCTTAGATCTGTTTGCTAGGGTTTATAGATGATTGTTAGGACATGGATCTCTGTTGAGTGAGTGATTGTTAATGAATGATGGTTGCTAGTGGAATGTTACACAAGTAAACTGCATTGAACTTAAACTTATGGAACCCTATTATATGGACTGCTTGTTTGTTAACCTGTTTAATATCCTTTTTGTTACAATTTGGTATCAAACGAATGTGCATTAGTTAAACGGAAAGATTACTATTAAAAGTGATTATTGTTTGGTGCTTGTTATTATTGTTTGATATAATAGCACTGATAGGTCCCTGGCTCATACTTGTGTGGTGTGTCGGTGTTGTTTGATGGCTGTGTTGGTGTATGTGTGACCGGGCCAGCAGCCAACGTTGGGAGGAGTGATGACCCTCCGAGGCGTCTGTGTGACCTACATGCCCTTGTGTGACCTCTGTGTGTAGATGTTGTCTGTGTGACCAGAGTTATGGGTTCTTGTGTGGCCTGGAGCATGTGCTTGTATGGCCTCTGCTACAGAGTTATGGTATGTGACTAGCAGTTTTTAGGGGTAGGCAGGCCCCATATCACACCTTTGCCGAGGAGGCTGAGCTGGAGAGTGTGTGCTTACCAACTGGTTTCAACCAGGGCCTACTGTTTGGTAGTTGCTTATAGGAAAATGTCTGTTCTGTGGAAGTGTGAATGATATATAACATTACTTGTCATTGCTTGGGCTTGTTTTAGGACTAGAATTTTTATAGATAATTCATGCTTGATTGATGGTGTTGTGGGTCTCCTTAAGGCTCATTCTCACTGAGTAATCCCCATTACTCACATCTAATCTGCCTTATTTCCTCAGGATTAGGTGGATCAGCTAAGTTTATGTTGTTGTTGTTACCTGGACATTGATATATCATGGTTTTTATGGTTTTTAACCATGGTATAGGTCTTATTTATAGAATCTTTCTAGTGTTTTTTGAATCTTTTGGAGTCTTTACAGGTCTTAGGTATGTTTGGAGCTTAACTGGAGATTTTGGAGCACTTTGGAGCTAAATCAGGATCAAATTCGCGAAGGACAAATCATGTGCATTGGTGACCCTCGACACCATAGAGAGTGACGCTCGACACTTGTCGCAGAAATAAGGAAAACATGATTTGTTGGGCCCAGAAGTTTCCAGAGAAGCCCAATACGTGTTTTATAGATATAAATAGGATTTTTAGTCTCTTTTGAACCTGACCTTAGATTTTCGAGCAAGACATCTTTGTGTTTTTCGGCTTTTGCGATTTTGAGAGCTTGGGGAGACAAGTCTGAAGTCTGTTCGTTTAGAGAGAAGATTTCGAACCCCTTTGTTTATTTTATTCATCTTCTTATTGCAATCTATTCAATCATGTCTATTACTTTAGTTAATTGATTTAGTTGATTAATTGATTTTCTCTGGATGTCTGATTAATTTATTTTGTTAGGGTTCATAATCAGATTAGTTCATAATCTGATTAGTTCTTCACCATAGGTTGTTCTTAAAGCTAATTCTGGACTGATCACCTAAAACTTAGATCTTAGGTTGCTTAATTGACACGGAAGTGTAATTGAATAACTGAAAAGAACTTAGGGTGAGCAAAGTAGCTATTCGCAAAGGAATTTGGTTTAGATGTTTTGTGATCACATCGAACTTGTGCATTAAAGCTGGTTTAAATTTGTAGGATTTGCAAAGGAATTTGGAATTCTAGGATTTTAACTTAGATAATTCTCACAACGGAAGTTGGTTAATTATAATTCTGTGTTTCGAGTTCAAGAACCTGCTTAAACCTGAACCCTGACTAATCAATTGATATGCATTCATTGATTTCCTGAGAAACGACCTAAGCCTAATCTCCATCCATCTGAACTTTACAAACGTTTTTACTGCATTCGTTTATTTTTATTTGCATTGCTATTCGCTTTTCATTATTTTGCTTAGCGTAATTCGAATTCTATCAGGTTTATTGAGTGATTTCTTGTCTCTGTGGTTCGACCCCTACATACTACAACTTCACATTTGTGCTCTTGCAGAGTAGCTTAGGGATTAAACTTTGAGCAGATCAGACATTTTCCTGGTGATCATGTGTGCTCACCAATGGACCAAACCAGGTGTCTAACCGAATGCGGTTTAGATGACCAACCTAACATACCCAATTTCTCCGTCTCTCTCGGGAGCCTGGGATAATGATGTTACAACTTGGTATCAAAGCCCATGATTAGATCACTCTAGCTCCGTTCTAAAGAGGTCGCACCCGTGTTAAAACAAAAATGATTTCTAAAAACATTTTTCTTAAATTTTTTTTAAAATGTTTTCAAACCTAGAACAACAATAACTTATAGACACTGAATAGATTCTTCTTTTTCGTTTTCTTTTTCATTTTCTTTCTTTCCTTTAGATTTGGATTCAGAACTTGTGAGACTGCTCGGAAGAAGGTGACTCCTCGTTCCCAGGTGCATCTTCGACAGACCCAATGGAGGTGCAATCAGATGCATTTTCCTGAGTCCAAGGGAGCATCTGCGAATGGATTGAGCCATACCAGGAGGGTTTACTCAGCTCCAATTTGCAAGCAGTCTGGTTCTGTCTTCATGTCTTCCCCTGCAGCCAAGACAGGAGTGCATTCTGCTCAGCTTGTGGAGCATGGAAGATGCTGCAAGTGCCCGAAGACGTTAGCTGCTCCAGTGACGCCTCAGCAGAATCCACTTGGGAGGTGGAGAGGTTTTGCTATTCAGGCAGATAGGACCCTGCAAGAGTATCATCAGGATTTTGTGAATGCTATGGAGCATTCAGAGCACGACTGCACAGCCCATGATTTCGCCTACTTCTTCTATATAGGGCTGCATGCTAAGCTCAGGATCTGAATCCAGGAGATGGGATTGGGGTATGGATATCATGTCTGGGAAGCCCATCGCAATGCTTCTGCTAGAAGTAGGCAAAATCCTGGGGTGTGAAGTCGTGCTCTGCATGCTCCATAGCATTCACAAAATCTTGATGATACTCTTTTAGGATCCTATGTGTCTGAATAGCAAAACTTCTCGACCTCCCAAGTTGATTCTGCTGAGGCCTCACTGGAGCAGCTAAGGTCTTCGGGCACTTGCAGCATCTGCCATGCTCCACAAGCTGAGCAGAATGAACTCCTAGCTTGGCTTCAGGGGAGGACGTGAAGACAGAACCAGACTGCTTCCGAATTGGAGCTGAGTAAACCCTCCTGGTCTGGCTAAATCCATTCGCAGATGGTCCCTTAGACTCAGGAAAATGCATCTGATTGCACCTCCTCTGGGTTTGCCGAAGATGCACCTGGGAATGAGGAGTCAGCCTCTTTCGAGTAGTCTCACGAGTCCTGAATCCAAATCTGAAGGAAAGAAAGAAAAGGAAAAAACCAAGGTAGAGACTATCACGAGCGCCTGCGAGAATTTGAGAAGAATCTATTAGATCAGCGTCTATAAGTTGTTGTTGTTCTAGGTTTGAAAACATTTTAAAAGATTTTAAGAAAATTGTTTTCTTAAATCATTTAAAAAGAAAACACGGGCGCGACCTCTCTAGATCGAAGCTAGAGTGATTTAGTCTTGTGATCTGATACCAAATTTTAAGAAAAAGGATATTAAACAGGTTAACAAGCAAGCAGTCCATATTTTAGGGTTTTATAGGTTTAAGTTCAATTGAGTTTACTTGTGTAATATTCTACCAGCAACGGATAGTTTTGTATTTTCCTGTCAGCAACTTGTAATGTCATGCTTTTAATTGATTAGTCAAAATTAATCAAATGTTTAGTACTTGAATTACGCCACACGGAACTGATGACAAAAGCAAACGTTTAACGGTAATTAAATGGGAGTAGACTACTATTTATTCCAAAGTATATTAATTTTATATAAAAAAAATATCAGAGATGGGCAACTATTAATATTTGATTAAGATTTAGTTTTTGAAGATTTAAATTAGAAAGAAATATATCAAACAACGGCTACTACATATCTGAATCAGGATTTACAGATCTAAATGATGGATTGTCCGTCTCATCAACAATCACTCAACAGAGGTCCATGTCCTAACATTCATCTATCAACCCTAGCAAATAGATCTAAGTTTTGGTTCAAGAAAAGACTAACTATAAATAAACACGTATATAAAAGAGAGGGTAAAACAACAAGTCCTCACTTTGGCACAAATGTGAAAGAGGATGAGGAGGAGAAGGCATCAGAGAAGGAGAGGGGAGAGGAGATCCTTCACCACTGGATCCAATCTCGAAGGGAGAACGACATCTCGCGGCAAGGAGGAGAGAAAAGCTTCGGCCAAGGAGAAGGAAGATATAGAGAGAGGTTCACGACGGAGGAGAGAGAGAAGAAGAACAAACAAAATCGCAGAGGATAAAAGAGGAGGAGCTTGGTGCAGGAAGAGAAAATGAGAGGAAAAAAGAGGAAAAAAGAGGTTAAAGTTTTTCTTTCTAGGTTTTGAGATGATTAATAAGAGAATACTAATGAAAAAAAGATTTTATAGTTAGGTTTATCTAACCGGACTAGATTAATGGACTTATAAAGAAAAAAAAAATTAATAAAGATTTAATCAAAAGAAAAGTTCGACCAAAAAAGAGAAAAAAAAAAGAAATTGATTTAGTTAAATTAAATCAGAATTAAAGAATTAGAAACAACTGACATTTGAGGAACGGAAAGTCGGGTTGTTTACAATAGGAATCAGAGAGATGTGGGAACGAGAAATCCTGGGAGATATGATAATGATTGCATCGCATTCCTTAACATTTTTTGTTTTTAAAATTGCCCTGGATCTTTGCTATTTATAAAATAAACCCACAACTATAGGTAATTTACAAAAAAAAGCCAAATTACATCTATCAGTCTCGGAAGAGAAAGAAAGAAAAAAACGATAGGGATCTAATTGGCGCCCCTTTACTATTTCCCAGTTCCTTCTTCGGATTCGTCTTTTTTATCTTTTTAAATCGGAAAAAGTAGAAACTGAATCCGTAGAAAAATTTCTCACACTGTTCGCAAATCCTTCCTCTGCGTACTGATCTTCTAGATCTACACAATCTTCAAGGGCTGCTTCGTTGTTTCGATTCCAATGGCGACGAGAAGACGTACTTTACTCAAAGTCATTGTCCTCGGCGATAGCGGGTAATGGAGACTGATTCTTAATTAATTCCTTTCTTCTTCTTGTTATTGGTGTTTCGATGCTTTGATGTTTGATTTTGATCTGTGATTGTCACTTTCCAGGGTTGGTAAGACTTCCTTGATGAATCAGTATCCTTTGATTAAACTTTTTTCTCCCTAATCTGCAAGATTAAAAATTATTCGATATGATTCAAGCAATGGCAGATTCGTGAATGTATTTGGGAGATATCAGAGTTGTGTTTCTTTACACTTTTGATTCTGTGAATCCTTTGTTTGCCTTAACTGGTAATTTAGATATGTGCATAAGAAGTTTAGTCTGCAGTACAAAGCGACTATTGGTGCTGATTTCGTAACGAAGGAGATTCAGATTGGGGATAAACTTGTTACTCTACAGGTTGGGTTTTTTTTTTTTGCTTGTTTTAGAGTTTTCTTTGAGACTACTTTCTCTCAAGATTCAATATTTTTCATTTTGTTATTTCTGTTTTGGTTATAGATTTGGGATACTGCTGGGCAAGAAAGATTCCAGAGTCTTGGTGCTGCGTTTTACAGAGGCGCGGATTGTTGTGCGCTTGTTTATGATGTCAACGTGTTGAAGTCCTTTGACTCTCTCGAAAATTGGCATGAAGAGTTTCTTAAACAGGTTCTTATGGATTCTTTTGTATCACATTTTGCACTTTAGCTTACTTGTGTCAGTACGTGCAAGCAATACAGATGATATTAGCTCTGGTTTGTTATGATAAATACATGGAACCTAGAATTTTTTTTGCTACTTCTGTTGTAATAGCAACTATTAGCTTTGACTATTTAGAGTCGCAGTCTTTAGTTTTTTTTTAACATTTCGCTTCTACAACCCCAAAGGATAACACTTTTCTGATGATGTGGTCAGAACGAGCGTTTGGTTATCTTTTGTATCTCTTTAGGTTCTTAGGACCATATCTGCAGTTTTCGTTTACCATTAGAAAACAGAATGATTGAGCAATGTAACATGTGTTTATGTTTGAACTTTGAACGGTCATTTGCCTTTACACCTGGTCCTCGGTTTACTGGTTTAGCCAACTAGCTAAGTATATACCAAGTACTAACTCGTTTCGTGTTCAAAACAGTTTTAGAATTCATTGATCTATAAACGTTGTGCCTTTATTCAGTTTTTTTTCCTGGACTCACACTTTCAACTCCTTAACAATGTACAATATGTTGAAATGGTATTAATTCTCTGTTTCCGTGGCATCGTCTTGTCCTGCTCAGGCAAGTCCATCGGATCCAAAGACATTTCCGTTTATAGTTCTTGGAAACAAGGTTGACATAGATGGAGGGAGCAGTAGAGTGGTAAGCGGGAATATCATGAAACGTTTTTCCAACGTGCTTTTAGTCTTTGTGCCTTTTTACTGTAATCTAGTTTCAATCCTCTATCAACTTACAGGTCTCTGAGAAGAAAGCAGCTGACTGGTGTGCTTCAAATGGTAACATTCCTTATTTCGAGACATCAGCAAAACAAGACTACAATGTTGATGAGGCGTTCCTTACCATTGCCAAAACCGCTCTCGCAAACGAACATGACCAGGATTTGTAAGTTTTTCTCACTTGCAATATAAGCTGAATACTTGCTACAATCTGTCTCTCATACACAGATTGTTTCGGTTTTTCGCAGATACTTCCAAGGGATTCAAGATGCATCGACTGAAAACGAGGCAAAAGGGAGTGGTTGCGCTTGCTAAACCGGGGATTTCAGGATTCATTTACATTTGTGTTTTTTTTGATGCATTTGCCCGTTATTGTTTTGAAGGTTGGTGTACCTGTTGAGTTGCAGAAACGATAAGCTTGTAGAAGCAAATTTTTTACGCCATTCCATCATATATTAATTGATTGGAGGAGTCTGTAATCGATTCTGCTGAGATATATTGTTGTTTTCTGCTCTTAATTCATGTGGCGAGATCAAATTATATATATACATATATATATATATATTCATATATTTCAGTTTGGTCTCACTTATCTATATTTGGAACAGTTGCTCATTGTGCATGTAGAATTTATTTCGATAATTTTACCAGCTTCATTTTGTTTTTTGAAAAAATTGCTGATTAGTTTTTAAGTTTTAAATTAGAGAAACGGGTAGTTTTGAAAATCAAGTAAATATTGGATTGTTTTTACTGTTTATGTTTCTGCTAGGCCAAGACTATTTTTTATTTTCAAAATTGTCATTGTCGAACTAAAATAACTAAATATTTCTGGTAAAATCCAATTTGTTAAATCGAAGTCCAATATCATAAACCGAAGTCCAATATCATAAATCAAAGTGAAATTCAAAGTATAATTTTTTGACAACATCTAAATAAAAAAAAATTAGGATCCACATCTCGACGTAGTCAATCTAGCATCTCTGGCAATCCATCTCCGATTAGCCCTCCGATTGACCGTTGTAATGTCGCCAAGAATTATAAAATCGTTTAGGCGCACGACCGTGACACCTCCAGTAGTCAGGCGGGTGCTCCGGAATAACTCGAAGACAGCTCCGACAGACCAGTCGCCCATGCCGCCTATGCCACCGCGATAGTGACCGGGTTGAACATTCCATCCACGCGACTCCTCTCAATCTACGCTGGCGGTGTAGCTCCAAAGTACAATTCGCTCCTCTTCGTCTAGATTGGTCTGCTCAGAATTCTAAAAGTAAGTCACTTTTATGAACTTCGACCTTGTATGAACTGCAATAGTGGTTTGTTAACTCTAATTAAGATTGAAACGGTTCTCCTGATTGGCCTGATTTAATTATTAACGGTTATTAACTCTAGTAGTGGTTTTCTTATGTCTACATTGAATTCAAACGGTTGGATTACTCTTATACCATCTAGAAACAGTTACAGAAGTTTATATATGAGAACATATGAATAGGGTAGTTTTTCCAGAACCCTGTTTTCTCCTTCGAACTCGTATTCCTGAAAATTCTCCCGTGGTTTGCATTTCACTAAACCCTGCATTTTGGATTTGTTGTTTTGGTTCAAATACCAGGCATGGAAGATGGAGAAGGTTCAAATAACCTTTCGGAAAAACTACCAAGAAGGGTCCTCGGCGATGGTTGCTACTCCGTTGGTGCTCCGTTGAACATATATTCAAAGACCAATGTAATTGACCTCCTTGTCGAAGCGTTAAAGGGTACTGAAGATCTTGAGAAGCTACTCCATTCCCAGTTTGGGAAGCTATTCTATCTACCTGTTGCAAGATGTTGCAACAGCGCCAACTAGTCTATGCTCTTCTATCACGACAACTTGTGACCACGAAGAAAAACGAGATGTGGTTCCTCTTTGGTGGACAGCCTCTGAGATATTCGATACGGGAGTTTAAGGAAATCACTGGATTGAATTGCAATCCCGAACCTGATAGCACAAAAGAAGAAGATAATGTCGGAAAGACGGGAATGTGGAAAGACCTATTTGGAAGGGCGACTGCTATGAACGTGTTTGAAGTGCTTGAAATGCTAAAGGACCCGGATCTACCTCGATGGAAACGGCTACCATGCCCTAATCGTTCTTGTTGACGGTGTTCTCTTTTTCAATAGCAAAAATCTGGCTCTGACCGAGAAATACGTAGAGATGTTGACTGACTTGGATAGCTTCATGCAGTATCCATGGGGTAGGATATCATTTAACAAAACAGTATCTCGTTTTCAAGCTCCGAAGCCAATCACGGACGCCAAGAAAAGGGAGAATCCTTTAACACGATTGCATCGTCAACTTAAACAGAAAACCAGTGCATGCTACGAGTTCCCTCTATCACTACAACTTATGGCCCTCCAATCTATACCAATGTTGGTCTCCAAAATTCCTCAACCTGATAACTTGAAAACTTTCATTGAAGATCCCGAAGGTTGTCAAAACGTTATCACACTATTGCATCTTGAGGACATACTTGCCGTGGAATCCGACCCTGTAAGTCTTATGTGTAGTATTATATTTAGTCTTATTTGTAGTCTTATTTATAGTACTTGTCTTATAAGTAGTCCGTGATTCTTTTGGTAATTTTGCAATTTGTTTGTCTTAGTTGTCTGTGAAACAGATGGTAGTGGATGTTGGTGACAATGATCAACAGAATGAATTGCGTTGGGGAGATGAGGTAGAGGATGCCGAAGTTGCATTCATGCAGGAACTCATGGCTGAGGGGTACGAATTCTCACCTTCGGATTTTTCTGTGGCACCTATCATGGATCTTAGTGATGCAGAGGACGAGGGAAACCATGAACAGGAACCGAAGCCATCCACCCGATGGAAGAAGAAACTGAAAACACATCAAACTGAAAAACAAAAAACCACAGAGGAAAAGACGCAGGGGCAAAAACTCGTCTAATCTATCGGAAGATGGAAGCCCTGAAAGTGGACAGATTACAGATCTTAAAAGATGAATAGTAAGTCAGAATGAATTGCTCCAGGGTAAGATTAAGACTGACTTGGACAAGAGATTGGGCGTATACCAACCGGACAAAGAAGATGATGGTGTACACCATGAAAAACAAGATGGTGAACAAGATGACGAAGGACAGCATCCCAAAAGGTGGTGAAAACCCGGATGAAGATGAAGATGAAGACGAAGATGGAGGTGAAGAAGGAAGTGATGGTGCACAGTTTAACGTACGCCAGAAAGAAAGAGATGATGAAGAAGGGACCTCTACCTACTACGGCGGGGACCATTATTCTCCCAGGGACCATTCTCACTTGAAGACTCCAGAAGCTCCAACGAAAACCCCTGAACAAGCTAATTCAGGAACAAGTCACCCACCTTTTTACTGCGTCAATCCGGATGAAGATCCACATTCTGGTCCAACGAGGTGAGCTAATTGTTTAGTCAGCAGCTGACTCTATTAAGTTTCATAATGGGTGTGTACTATGCAATAATTTCTCTGCCTTATTCAGGTGGATGGTGGTCGAAAAAAATTGGGGTCAGGCATCTTAGTAGTCTACAAACCTTAGACTGCTCATCCATTGAGTTACGCATATAGTAAAAATGAAGCGCACACAGATGCACAAGATGCATATGTCAGACATTAGAGCAGCTCCAATGGTAGTATTAGGAGAGGCTCTAGATGTGTTTATGCATTAAAAAAATGTTTTAATGATTTAATCCTCCTGAGCCGTTATTTAAGAGGCTAAAGAGACTGGGTTGAGCCCCATACGTGGTGAGCTCTGATTGGTGGAGTGTTTATATTTTTTTTTTATTTTTTTTAATCAAAAACTCTTGATGGTGCAGAGGCTTTGAAATGTTTTGTCACTGCAACTAAACAGATCTAACGTGTTTCTGACGAGAAACTCGGCCACTGGACAAGAACCGGCGTAGAAGTTAAAAGAGAGGTCGGAAGAGGCAGTGAGAAAGCTAGACAGAAACACAAAGAGTTTAAGAAGATAGGAATAGTTTATTCGGTAAGAGGCAACCGTTGACGCCATTTTTTGTGTCTCAGTGTTTGACTCAAGAAGGAAAGTGGCAATGATGGTAATTGGTACAAAGAGAGAGAGTGAGAAGGATACTGGTAGTTGCAGAGACTACCATTGGACACTAAACCAATGAAAAAATAATTAAGAGATTCTAGTGTATTAAAGTGAACAAAAAATTATTAAAAATAAGATTAGAACCCCTTGTTAAAGACTACCATTGGAGGTGGTCTTAGACTTGGCTACTTGGGTATACGATACTCTTTAGGTATACGTTAGGTATACAGTTGATATGGTAATTGCTTTATTGTTACGGTTTGTAGGCTGTGGCTAATGAAGCAGAGGACTCAAATGCGGCGAAAGATTACCATACTGCGCATGAGGATGCAAGTGATGCTTCATATAAGACCCCTTGTACTCCAAAACCCCCACAAGAAGTTGAGGGATCGTATGGCTTAAAGAGAAATAGAAGAGGAACAGGAACATGAATAGGAAGAGGAAGAGGTAGAGGAAAACGCGCACGCGTACGGTCGGACAAGATTCGAGATATTTACACCGCAGATAAAAAGGTGAAAGCTCTATTTGTATCTAAATCGAAAGATGCATACAAACCCCTCAAAACAGTGGAACAAGACTTGTTCAAGGCATTCCAGGAGTTATTATCGTGTGAAAGGATCATGTAAGTTATATCGTATGCAATGCAATATATGCTAAAACTTTCATTATTATCATTTACCAATTACTCTCATTACAGCGACTTTTGCATTGTCACTAGTCATACTGTGAACAATCAATTCTTCCTACAAATTGCAAACCCTACTGTGTGTGTTAACACAATGGTAAATACATATTGACTACCTAAAGAATTTCATTAATTATCTGTATTATCTGTTATTTATTTTTTGATTATCTTTGCAAGTTATAATGGCCATGCTTTGGAGACGTAGAGGTCAAATATACTTGAAAGACAGGGTAGCATTTATAAACACCTTGTTCATATCTATCATCGTCAACAACTACAAGGGTTTCATATCTGCAGACAAAAATCATTATGACTGGGGGGAAAACCATTCAGAACATTGTAATGGGAAAACCTACAAAGTGAGCTATTCAGCGTGAGAGACAAATGTTTCTACGGTTTGTGGACGTTGCCTACGTCCCGATGAACTGGGGGTCTGAGCATTGGGTGGGCCTTGTAATTGACCTTTAAAATGGGCAACATAGAGATTTTGGACTCATTCATCGGTCATAATGATGAAGCGGCTGTGGAGCAGTATATGGCGCCCGTTTGTCAACGTATGCCATTTATATTAAAGCGTTATTTGGATAGAAAATTAACGGAAGGGCTACGCACCACCCCTTACAAATGGAGTCGTTCGGAGGGCATATATCAGAACGCGAGATCCGGTGACTGTGGTCCATGTGCGGCCAAATTCTTAGAGATGCATGCTGCAGGGCTTGGAGCGGAGGATATGGGTTTGATAACGGACGATGACGTTGACAGGTTAAGGGAGAAATATGCCATGGACTCACACAAAGTGTTTGTTGGCAATCCGGCTGTTGGCAACGCTTAGGATGAATGGTGAACTTTAATGTTAGCAGTTTATGAAAGCTGTAGTTGTTGGATTATGTGCTTGATAATGTTTAGGATGTTGGTACATTTGATAATTTATATGCTTAAACTTTAGTTTGTATTAATTGGGTGTGAATACTTTGCTCCGTATTAAGTTGGTACTTGTACACCAAAATGCATTTAGGTGTACATCAAATTGGTGTACATCAAATTTGTGTTTGAGAAAAATTTGGTGTACACACCAAATTTACAATCTTAACGGTAACCGCATTTAATGTATACACTCAGTTCGTATTAATTATTAATTATTATATATATGTCTATTTTATAATTGAACGAAGACACCCTTTAATAATTATATATATGCATTCGAAACCGCACTTATTCCACATAAACAACCGCTTTCCTCACAAATCAACCTCCTCCTCGAGTCAACCTCCTCCTCCAATACACAAAAATTAAATATGGCACCAAAGAGAGGGCGATGTGATGCAGAGATCCGTGATAGTGGCTCCCCTCTAATGGCACTACCCGACGAACTGTTGGAGAAGGTTCTCGCATACGGTTACAACTCGGTCCAACAAATTTGCACCCTAAAGCAAGTTTGCAAACGGTTCCAGGCCTGCACAATAACCAAAAAATTTCTAGCATCGGTTGATCCTATGGAGTTGGAGATGCATATTCCCGATGACTTTGATATGCTTTTCATCGCAAGTTGGAAATTTTCCAACTTGTTGAGGAGAATGTATGAGGCACGCAATCCGGGTTTGCTGTTCATGAAGGGGATGCAAGACTACTTCTGCCGTGGAGACAATTGTGGCATAGAACTCATCAAGAAATCTGCATATATGGGGTACGAAACTGGTGTTTACATGTATGGGATGTACATGAAAGCAGTGGTCCAAGACCCCGTGGGTGAAGAGTATCTTTCAAAACTAGGCAGAGGGGCAATGATGAGGATAATTCGGAAAATTATTAATGGAGGTGAGCATGGTTATGTCAATAATTTTCCTGACGAATTCTCCAAGAGGAGATATAAAACTAATCCTCAGTTTAGGAAACTTTGGTCTTGTCGCTGTGGTGTTGCCAATGCTCAACTTGATTGGCATGATGAAATGTTAAAGGGGCCAAGCATGTGCACCTCGTGTTTCTGGGCACTAGAAACACAAAAGTTCTTCAGATTTGTTTGTTATGTGAGGTCAGGGCCGTCCATGGAAAAATGATGAATACATGGTGAAAGTCAAACAGTTTCAGTGTGTACACCTCGTCGTTGTGTACACCAAGTAATTTCAAGTTTTATATAATTAGCATCTTTTGCTGTTATTTCAGAATTATTGTAAGTATCCTGGAATATGTTTCTTTAGATTATTTAATCGAATTGAATCGATATTTCTTATTTTTCTGATTTTATCTTTTGTTTAGGATCTGTACACCTAATTTTGTACGCCTTAATATAAAAGAAATTTGTCACAAATTATTTTTCTTTCTATGCATACTTTAATTTTGTTTCACTTTAATTAAACTCGGTGGGTAATTGTGGTAGTTTTTTCAAGAAGCATTATCTCTTATCTCTTTAAAGTCTCAGTTTACCTCTCTCTATACGCCTAATTATGAGAAAACTAATAATGAACACCTCAATCTGGACTCAATCTGTACTCCATATCTAATTGGATCGATATTTCATATTTTTTTTATTTTGTCTTTTGTTTAAGATGTGTACACCTAAATTTGTACACCTGAATGTAAAAGATAACTATCACATATTATCTATTTTATGTGTCTGAATTCTTTAATTTCCTCTTTACTTATAATCGGTGGGGAGTTGTGGGAGTTTTCTGAGAAGATATGGTATACAAACGACATTATCTCTTTAAAGTCTCACTTTACCTCTCTCTGTACGCATAATTATGAAAAACTGATAATGATTTCGTCAATGTGGACTCAGTCTGTACTCCATATCTCGGTTAACATGTGTTGAGAAAACTGAAAAGCTAATGATGATAAAAAAATTAGTTTCCAAAATTTATAATGATAAACTAATTCTGCCTTGTTATTGATATTTAAATTAAATCATAAATCATAAAAATATTGAAAGTTAAATACGTCACTTTGCTTGGCTCTGGTTATGCTATGTATTTATTGTGGTAACTTAATTTTGCGAGCAAACGCAAAGACACCTTTTCGTCTCTGTTCAACGTCCCTCTTCATAGACAGCTATTCGGCTCTATCAAAAATACACTACCTCTTTAAATTCAATCCCTTCACCGTAACATCCTTCTGAGCACTATCATAACTTCCTCTTTCAATCCATTTTCAATCCATTCTCTTCTGCCTCAATCCCTTTTTCTATC